GGGCACGGATGTAATTTATCGTCATACCCAGGGTACGAATGTAATTTATCGTCATACCCAAGACACGGATGTTAGTTTATCGTCATACCCAGGATACGGATGTAGTTTAACTTCTTACCCAAGACACGGATGTGGTTTATCGTCATACCCAGGACACGTATGTAGCTTATCGTCATACCCAGTACACGGATGTAATTTATCGTCATACCCAAGACACGTATGTAGCTTATCGTCATACCACATGTACATTTAACGTCATGTAGTTTATCGTCTTACCCAGGACACGGATGTTATCGTCATACCCAGTAGGCGGATTATTTATCGTCATACCCAGGACACGGATGTAATTTATCGTCATACCCACGGATGTAATTTATCGTCATACCCATGTGTAATTTAACGTCATACCCAGGACACGGATGTAGTTTAGGACACGGATGTAATTTATCGTCATACCCAGGACACGGATGTAATTTAACGTCATACCCAAGACACGGATGTTTAGGCGGACACGGATGTAATTTATCGTCATACCCAGTAGGCGGATGTAGTTTATCGTCATACCCAGGACACGGATGTAATTTATCCTCATGCCCAGGACACGGATGTAATTTATCGTCATACCCAGTAGGCGGATGTAGTTTATCGTCATACCCAGGACACGGATGTAGTTTAACTTCTTACCCAAGACACGGATGCAGTTTATCGTCATACCCAGGACACGGATGTAGTTTATCGTCTTACCCAGTACACGGATGTAATTTATCGTCATACCCAAGACACGGATGTAGTTTAACTTCTTACCCAGGACACGGATGTAGTTTACCGTCATACCCAAGACACGGGTGTAGTTTATCGTCATACCCAGGACGGAAGCAGAGTGCTGAACTTTTATGTATCATTCATCGTCCTATGTAACAGAAAATGATGGGCGATTTTCTCACAATAATGTCGTTTTAACGGTGAATACTATAGACTAATCAACAAGCAAGTTTTAAAGAAAATGTAAAAAAAATGACGCATATATATATAATCTGAACGAAACATGTAATATCGATGACGCATAAAGAGAAAGTTGGTTTGGAAAATTCGACATTCACAGGATATAATGAACATACGGAGTCATGAAGGAAAGGCAAATAACTTAGCTAAATCGTTTGTACAAATAGATGACAAAAGAAGGAATGAGAGAGATAGCAAAAGGATAAGCCAAAAGTTACAAAAGACAGGACGTTGTGAAGAGCCATGATCGCCCATGTTCTGAAAGAAATGAAATGGTGACAACGAGAGTAAAATATTTTTCGCTGTATTGGAATCCATTTTACACAGACAGTAAAATTGAAAAAAAAAATGCGTCCTCTGTTTTTTGGCAGAAATGTTCTTCAACAGAAGAATGATCTGAGAATACCATGGACTGTTCATAGGAGCACTCAGCAAGTTTTACGGAAAATGGAAAACACTATAAAATCGAATAGAGGCAATTAAAATATCAATGACGGATAATGAAGAAAGTTGGTATGGAAACTTCGGCACTCACAGGATATATTGAACATACGAGAGCCAGAGGGAAACAATTAGCTGGCTAACAAGCTTGTGCAAATAGATACAAAAGAGGGAATAAGAGAGAAAGCCATATGATAAGCCAAAGTATACTCAATACAGGATGTTGTGGAGAGCCATGATCGCCCATATCCTGAAAGGGAACAACATATTCGAATGAAGAAATTATGAAATTGGAATTGATTTCATCATCACTGTTTCATTGGCCAACTTTTGTCCCCAAGGACAATGGGAGATAAGCTGTGGATCCATTCATTTGTCGTTGGCGTCTGTGGGTCCTCTTCGCCCCTACGTCGATTCTCTCTCCCAGACTCTCGTCCAGCTGCGTGTTCTTCCCGACGGCTTGCCTCCTTGTGCTTCGATCTCCAGCAACGACTTTCCAACCAGCTGGATCGATACCACCTGCCTTCATATCGCGCTTGCACACATCCTTGTAGCACGTCTGAAGCCAGTAGCCAATTAGCCATAGAGCATATCATTTGGGATGCGACCATCTCCCATAGGGCTTACACGACCGAGCCAGCATAGGCGCCTCTGAGTAAAGCAAGGCAAACATGTTTGGTATGCCCACCTGTGCCACGATGGATTTGTTGGGCGGACAGTCATGCCATTTAATGCCTATGATCCGTCAGAGATAGCATCTATGGAAGGCATTAAGCCTGCATTGTTGGTAAAAAAAAATTGATTTCACGCAGTCACTAAAAAAAAAATTACGTACTTTAAAACTTTTCTTATAGATATGTTGTTCTACAGAAGGAGGCTGAGAATAACATGGACTAATCATGGGAGCAAGGAGAAAGTTTTAATCAAAACAGAAAAAAAAGAACGCACTTATATAAAACTAGCAACATGGCCCGGCGTTGCCTGTGCTTGATTCGAAAATCGTTCGACTCATACAGCAAAAGCTATCACGTGACTTAAAATATTTTTGCCCTTCCTCGCCTTTAAAGGAGTGCCCTGTGCCGTGCTGATGTTGCTACATGCCTTACTTCTTGCCTATCTCACACTGCGAATTTTTTCTAAGCTCTATCCTAAACATTAAATCTGTTACGAAAAAAGAATTAAACAAAATGAACACAAAACAATCAGCTTTAAAAGAGGACTCGTAATTGGAAAAACCGAATGAAAAAAATTTTTAAAAACAAATACTTTTTCACATCCAATCCAGTTCTGCGGAATCAGAATCAACGTTGAGTTTAAGCAAGCGAATGAGCCAATTGGCATGCAGTTTTAAATTTTTCCCATTTCTGACAAATGCAGCTATCGATTGTTTTTGCATGTTAGTTAACATTCGTGTCAGTCAGCTGTTGGCTCTCACGCTGGCCAATAGAATCTTCCTGTTTATTCGTGGCAGCCAGCTATAGGCTCTCACTCTGGCCAGTAGAAAATGGCCTCAAACTACATGAAAACTGCCGTAGAAGCATGAAAAAATCGATTATTTCTACTATCGATGGGAGTTGGGAAATGCAAAGTCGGTCTTGGCCTTCCCGCTAACTTGGAGCATGTGCATGTAAATTTTGGTGCAAATCCGTCGGAAATTGCTGCCGGGCATTCGTTACACACACACACACACACACACACACACACACACACACACACACACACACAGATCCTGCCTTTTATAGATAGAGATCCGAAAGAGAGAGTTAAAGCATCGATGACGCATAATGAAGAAATAAGGAAAGTTTGTTTAAAACATTTCACACTCCCAGGATATATTGAACGTACAAGAGACATGGCGTGAGGAATAGATAGTAGCTTATCTAACGAGATTGCACAAATTTACGACAGAGAATTAAAGATTGCACAAATTTACGACAGAGAATTAAAGAGATAGTAAAAGGAAAAGCCAAAAGTTACAAAAAAACAGGATGTTAAGAGCCATAGTCGCCCAATTCCTGAAAGGGCAACTCTTATTATCATATTATAATGATGAAACGGTTTGATTTGTTTTGTTTACGGCATATTAACCGCATTTGGTTATTTAATACCGACAAGACTCCTATTGCCGGAAATATTCTTTTAAAAGAATATATTGCTGTTAATATTTTTTTTTCCAAAAATCTATTGCTGCTAATATTTTTTTCTTCAAAAATGTATTGCTGGTAATAATTTTTTCTTCATATAATTAATTTCTGGTAATAACCTTTTACAAAAACGTATTGCTGGTATTAAAACCTATTTTTACACTTTCGTAGTGTTTTGACCGCAGTTTGGACCTCAACAATTTGCCTGTAGCTTGTACCGTGACATGTACTACCACCCTGTGTCACTGTGGCCCTGGGAACACCAGCAATTAAGATGTGGTTCCATACTCCTCAAAATCTGATCAAAGGATTTCCTCTTGGATGTAGTTTATCGTCTTACGCAGGACGAGATGAAATGGTGGTAACTAGAGTAAAGTATGTTTTTACAGTATTGGAATTGATTTTATGCAGTCACTAAAATTGGGAAAAAAAATACATACTTAAACCTTATAAAAGGTTATTTCTGGGACTTCGTTCACAAGCACATTTTTTTAAAAAAATGTTCAGCCAGATCAGTAAAATATCTACTGAGATTGAAATTCCCATAAAAGAACCGCCCACATCAACACACAGGTGTACACCCGAGGCGTAAGGCAACGAAAATTCTATTTAGCCTCGCTTTTGTCTGCCGCACACGCGTCACGTAGGACGTTGGCATTATTCTCGAAATGGCGAACGAGCGGGAAGAGGTCACTAACAATTGGGGCAACTGAAAACTCCAGCACACATCGCAGTCTTCTGGCCTGGTCTGTCACAAGCAGCTGTTCAACTGCAATGCATTTTACCTCCTCTGACCTTTGCCGCGTTTATATCGCTTTCAAATCAATATTAACTTCCGTCTGAAAAGGTGAATGCGCCATTTTGAAAAAAAAAAACGTTCCTATAGATTTAAATAAATAAATGAATACACACAGAGAGACACAGAGAGAGAGACACACCCACACAAACACACACGCACACACACACACACACACACACACACACACACACATATATATATATATATATATATATATATATATATATATATATATATATATATGACACAAAGAAATGATGAACTCTTTCAGATCTTTTAAAAGAGTTTAAAGATCATTTGATTCGAGAAAGGTGCGTATTGCATCAGATGACAAACGAATGCAATGAAGGCTGAAATAGCAAGTTCTTTGTTCGATGTCTTATGAATTTGCTGCGTTTTTTGGAAGTAAACTCTAAAGGTATATTTAGAATATTGTTTGCACATGCACACAATGCACACATATGCAGAGTTTCATATATATATATATATATATATATATATATATATAATGTAATGTACGTGTGTGTGTGTGCAAGTGAATGTGTATGAAAGCGTAGTTACCTAGACATATAATGGAGGAAGCTTAGGTTAAAGGCCAGACATTGTTCAAAGGCTCAAAGACTAGCAGTAAAGAAGACGTGGTTGTGGTTCAGCATTGTTGATTTGAGATAAAGTGGATTTCCATAGAAAGTAGACGGCAGGGGGACAGATAGATAGATAGATAGATAGATAGATAGATAGATAGATAGATAGATAGATAGATAATGAACTAAGATGAATAGATAGATAAATAGTTGGATAGATAATGAACTTAGATAGATAGATAGACAGACAGACAGATACATAATGAAGTGACGAAGATAGATAGATAGATAGATAGATAGATAGATAGATAGATAATGAACAGATGAATAGATAGATAAATAGATAGATATGAATTTAGATAATAGATAGAACAGACAGATACATAATGAAGACGAAGATAGAAGATAGATAGATAAATAGTTAGATAGATAATGAAAATTTAGATAGATAACTTAGATAGATAGATAGACAGACAGACAGATACATAATGAAGTGACGAAGATAGATAGATAGATAGATAGATAGATAGATAATGAACTAAGATGAATAGATAGATAAATAGTTAGACAGATAATGAACTTAGATAGATAGATAGACAGACAGACAGACAGACAGACAGATACATAATGAAGTGACGAAGATAGATAGATAGATAGATAGATAGATAGATAGATAGATAGATAATGAACTAAGATGAATAGATAGATAGTTAGATAGATAATGAACTTAGATAGATAGATAGACAGACAGACAGATACATAATGAAGTGACGAAGATAGATAGATAGATAGATAGATAGATAATGAACTAAGATGAATAGATAGATAAATAGTTAGATAATGAAAGATAGATAGATGAATTGACTAAAATACATAGATAGATAGATAATGAACTAAGATAGATAGATAGATAGATAGATAGATAGATAGATAATGAACTGATAGATGGATAGATAGATAGATAGATAGATAATGAACTAAGATGAATAGATAAATAAATAGTTAGATAGATAATGAACTTAGATAGATAGATAGACAGACAGACAGATACATAATCAAGTGACGAAGATAGGTAGATAGATAGATAGATAGATAGATAGATAGATAATGAACTAAGATGAATAGATAGATAAATAGTTAGATAATGAAACTTAGATAGATAGATAGATGAATTGACTAAAATAGATAGATAGATAGATAATGAACTAAGATAGATAGATAGATAGATAGATAGATAGATAGATAATGAACTGATAGATGGATAGATAGATAGATAGATAATGAACTAAGATGAATAGATAAATAAATAGTTAGATAGATAATGAACTGACTAAGATAGATAGATAGATAGATAGATAGATAGATAGATAGATAATGAACTGACGAAGATCAATCGATAGATATAGAACGAGAACGAGGCGGGAGAGAGAATAAAGGGATATGACTTATATCCTCGTGTATAAGCCGACTTTCTGTATAGTTCGACCCCTTAATATTTCCGGATATTGCGTCCAGCATGAAAGAGCCTGTCGCCTCTGAGTGTTGACTTCACTGCTCACTTTTATATTTATATTTATGTACGCTATATCTCTGATATTGACCACTTTATCCCATTAATATAGCACATCTTAAAACTATATTTCTTAATATATATATATATATATATATATGTATATATATATATATATATATATAAGAAAGAATATTAAGATATATAATCCGGTGTTCTTATAGATATTTTTATTTTTACAAAATAGTGCTCAATGTAAATTTATAGAGCATTAATATTATAAATTAATTGATTAGAAATATGTTTTTTTCCGCTACGCAATTCTAACCATGTTTCAAAAATAGAAGCTAAATGCCCCGAATTTAATTTTGCAATTAAATTAAAAGCATTAGTTCCATTTCATCCTCAAGCGAATTTTTCAATTGCAAAATTAAATTCGGGGCTTTTAGATTCTATTTTTGAAACATGGTTAGCGGAAAAAACCATATTTTAAATCAATTAATTTATAATATATATATATATATATATATAATAAAAATATAATATATATTTAATATATAATAAAAATATAATAAAATAGATATGTTATTGTGTATGTGTGTATCTACGTATGTATTTTTGACCATACTAGATTAAATATTCCTTAATTTTATATTTTTATGTTAAATTTGTAACCTGTAGGTGATATTACTTCCTTTGTCAAATTTTCTTGATTACTCATCGCTTCTCTTATAGATGCCTTCGTTTTTAGTTTGCCCCCACCATCCTTTTTTTACCTCCCTCCCTCTCTTTCTCTCTCCCTCCCTCTCTCTCTCATCTTCTGGATTTTAAGTTTAGATCGTATTTTTTTTTTTTGCTATTTTTCAAGACTTGTGGTTGAAAAGCGGTGGACGGTATGGTATGGTATGGATTACCCCAAAATTCTCAGCGAGTCACAACCAACTATCATAGGCCGGTTGCAACGTAACATTATCCAGCTGTTGCGGGCCCACCGCGTGGCGAGGTACTGAGCCGAATGGGCCGAAATTTTGCTGAAGCACGGCGCTCAACTAAAGATTGCAGCTACTCTGGAGCACTTGATGTGTACATGTGTTCGTTTATATATATATATATATATATATATATATATATATATATATATATATAGGCACATTTGAGTAATGGGGATATAGTCTTAGATGGCAAATGATCCTCCTCAGATTTTGAATGCAGAGTTGTCCTTTTCCTTCACCGTTTGCCTTTCAATAAATGCCCATTACTCAACCGTGCCTCATCTTACTTATTATAAAACGCAGATTTGGTCTGTGTGTGTGTGTGTGTGTGTGTGTGTGTGTGTGTCTGTACGTTTATATATTGGATCGGATTTCCTACATTTTTCAACCGATTTCAACAAAACTTTACAGGACTACGTGAAATTACCTTGCGGTGGTTCTAACAGCGCCAAAATTGGAAAAAACACAATTGTTGTTGCACGAAATCAATTTGAAAACACGATTAAGAGGCATCGCTGTTCCGAGAATGAAAGGGGACAACTCATATCGAGTTATACTTATTATAAAACTCAGGTTGTGTGTGTGTGAGTATGTGTGTGTGTGTGTGTGTGTGTGTGTGTGTGTGTTTATATATGGGATCGGATTTCCTACATTTTTCAACCGATTTCAACAAAACTTCACTTTTTTTTGGAAGGTAGTGTTTCTTACTGTCTTGTACACTTTTTCTTTATTTTTACATTCAGAATGCTTTAAAAATTCTATTTACAAGACAATTGTTTATAATAAAATTCTATTCAATCGGTAGACTCATAACAATTGAATAACAATGTTTTTTGTTTGAGTTTGGGTTTGACCAGTTTGTAAAAAAAAAAAAAAAAAAAAAACTAATTAAAACATGCGTGTCCGTCAACCTTAAACAATAATCTTTGCCAATTTTATTTTTCAGTCTTTATGATGGTCGATACTTGATCTATCTCTTACTGTTACATCCCCTTTCAACACCGGGCTCTACTAGTATATATATATATATATATATATATATATATATATATATATATATATATATATATATATATCAGGGCAGTTAAATTATTTAATTAATAATAATATAACATTATAACATCGAATAGCACAAGTGAAGACTTGAATACATAAAAAGCACGTCCTAAATCTAGTAGCAAATTTTATTCTGGGTGCGAGCCGAATACTGATCATATTCGGTCGGGTCGCCCATTAAAGAAATCTGTTGTTTATTTAGACCCGAAACTTCTAGTGACATGGGAACAACAACACTGACCACGCATCTAGATTCGGCATTTAAAGGTGTATTTTTAAGAAAAAAAAAACCACTTCAATACAAACCATATAAAAAGATTCTAAATAGAAAAAAATTCTAATTCGGAATCAAATTTACAATTGGAGAAATTAGGATATTTATGTAAACAAAATTAAAAATTAACGAACTTGCGCCCTTATAAAACGCATAAATCATGAACATACTCTTGTACACAACGCATTTAAAAAAAAAGACGCGAAATAATTTTTTTAGTTTGCTTTGTGTTAGTATTTAATTTGTTTCTCTAATTGTCAAATGTTAGATTTTTCCATATTAAATAATTACTATTATCAAATTTTTAAATCTCGGTGTGCGTTTTGTAGATGATGCGGTATTATGGTGCATGGAGGATTGATTGGTGACGGACAATTTTTTGTGGTGAATGCGCAAATTGTAACGAATAAATGGGTCGTGAATCGGATTAACCAAGTAGAAGATGATGACCAACCTGAATCCCTTTCCCCTTTTCTGCCTTTTGCCATAATTGTATTTTTAATACAATAAATACCTATAAAAATCTCCTGTCATATAGTCTGACGTGCTTTATCAATTTAGCCACAGAGGAACGTGTTGGTTAGCAAGGTAGATTTTACTGTTTTTAAACTACAATTCTCCATGATTTTCTCTCATACATTCATATCTGCTCGATGTGTATCCAAATGTAAACAAATGACAATTATTGTAAAACATTTTTTTTTATGTTTATACGTTCTTTTTATAGATACAAATATTTAAGTAAATGCTCTGTTTATTTATTTATATATTTCTTCCATTGGAATCGTAAATACGATCCAATTCATCAGACATACAAATTCAAAAAAAAAGCATGTATGTGTATACCACTAATATTATCTATCTATCTATCTATCTATCTATCTATCTATATATATATATATATATATATATATATATATATATATATATATATATATATATATATATATATATATATATATTGCCAATAAATATCTGTTTTATATCAATCTCGGACGAAGATTTAATAAAAGTGAAAATGTTAGATTGATACACGTTTCCTTTGTGTTTCTTTTATTTTGTCAGAACGTATAAACATAAAAATGTCTTTATATATATATATATAATAAAAAGGCTTAAACACTAATATTCCATAGTTATAATTTATTCCATTGGAATCGTAAATCGATCCCATTCATCAGACCTACAAATTCAAAAAAGAAAACAACAAAAAAAAACATATATGTGTATGCAACTAATATTATCTATCTATCTATATATATATATATATATATATATATATTGTGTGTATTTAGGCAGCATCTTTTCATTCATACACGTTTCATTAAATAATATAGACAAGTGTTGTCTATTTATTTTATGTAAATTTTTTTCATAACTTCCGATAAGTTTAATAACATTATCGTTGAACGAAGAAAGAAATTCACAAAATTGATCCATATTTTTTAATCCAATCTAAGCTTTCGGCTTACATAAGGCTCTAGAAGCGAAAATCGCACCGCATCTCATGACGTCACACATGAGCACACGAGACTGAATTGTAGAAGTATGAAGTATGGGAAGCTGTTGGTATAAACAGAAGCCATTGGTCTTGAAGTGACACGGTACATAGCACGGCAAAATCTGTGAGAGTTATAGTTGGTGGTAGTTAATGTCGCTCGTCTGAACTAATCTGAGACATTATACATGTCCTTGAAAATATGGAGACGTTCTTAAATCTTTGTCATGTAAATTTTGCGAACTTTTGTCCGAAAATAGAAAATAATATTTATTTTATTATAATGCCCCATTTAATTTTTACTGATATTTCAAATGGACGCCGTCCTGGTTAAGACGAAAACCTACATCCGCGTCCAGGGTAAGACTATAAAGTCGATATGAGAGTAAAACCTCTGATCAGGAGGTTTTGAAGTGCATGGAGCCACCTCTTAATTGCTGGTGTTCTCAGGTCAGACCCGGGGTTGTGGAACCTGTCAGAATCCCAGCTATGGGCAAAAAGGGGCCAACTCACTATGAAAATATAAAATAGGCTTTAATCTGTTAATATTTTTTGGAAATAATTATTACCAGCAATACATTTTTGAAAAAGGAAAATATTACCAGCTATACATGTTTGATAAAAAAAGATATTACATTTTTGGAAAAAAATGAAACCAGCAATAAAAGAACTTAAATAAAATAAAATAAAATAAAATAAAATAAATTAAATAATCCACCGAGGTTGATATGACGTAAAACAAACCAAACCAAACCAAAACCAGCAATATATTTTTGAAGGAAAGATTCTTACCAGCAATAAATATCTTGTCGGCATTAAATAATCCATTGAGGTTGATATGCCGTAAAATAAAGGAAACGAAACGAAACCAATCAAATGGACGTTTAAAACCGAATTTAGGTCAAGCCGAAAAAGAACGCGTAGATTAGAAAAATGCTCATAGCTGACGACAGATGTCGAAGGCAACATAAAAGAATTTGAAAAATAAATTAAACGTTATAAATAAACCAGGAAATTTAATACAATCAGCCACGTCAGCTTTAAACTACAAATATATTTTTATTGTCGACACTACTTATGAAGACAGGTCAACTGTTGACCTGTAGGGAAATGTTTTTTTTTTTTTTTTGGTGGGTAGGGTGAAATGATTTTCAATAAATAAGTGTCGATAAATGCACAGTGGTAATTTAAGACTAAAACTCACCAATTTCCAATCAGATACAAACACAGTCTTCACACTCATGATATCAACTGTTTCAATAAGAAGGCATATTCCTTTATTTTTAACGTATTTAGTATTACCTACATTAATCATAAACTTTTTTCTCGTTATTATTATTATTATTATTATTGTATTTCCTTTGATTTCCGGTGTCTTCTACTTTTATTCCGGGTCCCAACCAGAGACATAATGCCAGAAATGGCTTCATGAAATTTTCCATGTAAAAAAAAACCCAGAGAAACAAACAAAAAAATAAAACAAGATCACAAACGTTTTTCATAGATATAGCCCTTAGCAAGGTGTGGGCTGTACTTTTGAGATCATTTCCTTGCATTTTGTAAGGCATGGGCTACTTGGAACCCCTTCAATGAATCTATTGGAATCATTACCAAACAATCCGAGGGTTCCAACTTGTTATACCGGAACGTACCTATTTCTGTTGTAAATAGACTCTCCGACAGTAAGTAGTAGTAGTAGTAGCAGTCGCCAGTGAAGCTCAGTGAGTTGTGTGAGTCAGTCGATGTCGGACATTAAAGTATGAGCCCCACAACTAGATTGCTGCGTCATTAACTATTATTTCAAGTTCCTAACGTTTTGTACATCGAACCTAATTTAGGACCGACTTAGTGAAATACAAGCCTCCACTGTGAAAACTACTCTACAACACAACTACAACTGGAATTGTCGATGTTATTATGGGCCACATTTATGAGATTTCGATTTTAAGGTCGTTTTATTTTGATAGCTTTATTATTATTGTTGGTATTATTATTATTATTATTATTATTATTATTAGTAGTAGTAGTAGTAGTAGTATCCCGCCCCGGTGGAATGAACAAAATGATAAAAGAGTTTCAGAAGATCAATCCTAAGCTGTGTCATTAACCAAGGGGAAATTTCTTGATGAACAAGATCAACCATTATATTAAGCCCCTTTCATTTGTATAATTTCATAATGGCGATGCTTCATTACTTTTGACACGTTCACTACAAGTAGAGCCGTTGTGTTTTTCCAAGAATAGTGATTTGGACGACGCGATCGGATGAAATCTTGCGAGGTGAGCGTATTTCTCATCAGGATCTTATCCGATCTTTTGAGCATCAGCTTAAGATGAAGATTAGAATAGAAAGTGATTGGTTTCGAACGATTTCAGAGCAAGTTGGGCGACGGCGGTGAGCCTGGTTCGTGTGTTTTTTTTTCTTTTTAGGTCTCCCTAAGTCACATCGAGTTGGTTTCTTGTGGATCCCTCCCCTGGTTAAGATAGTCCCTTTTTTGTGTACCTAGATAATGTGTGTAAATGTCATTCTTTGCCTGTTCTTGGTTCCTTCTTTGTTTATGACCCAAGTCGAGATTCCTAACTTCCCCAGTTTGTTTTTGGTCCATGGGTCAGCTTTTTTTCCTTTCCCATGGGCGTATTTATTTTACCCTTTCCCTCTCGCTTAAAGAGAGAACCACTCGATTTTATCTCAAGTCAGAATACAGCAGTCTCTCTTAAATATTCTTTGAGGTTTTGACGGGTTCAACTAACATCAGTTATATATATATTTGGTGTTCATACACTTCCCACCCCTCTTTATATATCATATACAGATTATATATGCAAATAAATTTTTTATGTCATGGGGTGCGTTTTTGTAGGTCCGCTGGGTGTATTCGGTAATATGGCACATGGAGGATTGAATAATGATAGATATTTTCTTGTGGTGAATGTGCAAATTGCAATGAGTGGATGGATCGTGAACCTGATTAGCTAGGTGTAAGATGGTAAGTGACGTCCAGCCTTAACCCATTCCCCACTTTTAGGCTTTGTAACAACATACGATGGCACAGATGACACAGTACTGATAGCATACACAGAACAGAAATAACAAAATCTCTTACAGACGTTGGCGAAGGATAGTGAGAAGAAGGGACTAAGCATAAGCTACAAGAAAACAGAATGCATAGTCATCAGTAAAAGGAAGAGCCCGAAATGCGATTTGCAGGTCGGGAACACTAGAATCAAACACACACAGAAGTTTAAATATCTGGGAAGCGTCTTGACAGAGGACGCTAAATGCGACACTAAGATTTGTAGATGTATTGGGAGTATTGCACGTTTCCTCAATGTATTGTGAGATGCAAGAAGACGGAGTTCATGGTCGTCAGTCAAAGTATGAGCCTGAAATGCGATCAGAAGATCGGGAAAACTAGAATCAAGCAGCCGCGGAAGTTTAACTATCTGGGAAGCGTCTTAACAGGAGACGTTAAGTGCGACACTGAGATCCGAAGACGTATTGGGATGGCCAAGGACGCATTCCAAAAGCTGGGCAGAATACTTCAAGACAGGAGGATTTCTTTGGTAACAAAGAAAAGAATACTGAGCTGTTACGTGACATATGTCTTTCATTACGACAGCGAATGTTGAACGATTTCCTCAAAGACGAAGAAGAGACTCGAGGCGACGGAGATGTGGTTCTACAGAAGGACGCTAAGAATATCATGGATCGAGCGTGTGAGCAACGATGAGTTCTTAGAGAGGTTGCAAACAAGAAGGAGGCTTATACTTAACATCAGAAAGAGGCAGATGAAGTTTCTGAGATATATAATGAGGAAAGTAGGCTTGGAGAATCTGATACTCACGGGTCGAATTGAGGGAAAGAGAGACATGGGAAAACAACGCGTGACTTAAGCAAGTGGTTGACAGAACGTCGGAGGAAGCAGAGAGAAGGAACTTGTTGACAGCTGCAAGGGATAGAGGGAGGTGGAGAGCCATGATCGCCTACGTCCTGAAAGGACATGGCACACAAAACGAAAAGAAAAAGCCTCAATTGTATTTTATATGCAATAAGTCTTGACAAGCAACGTTTGTTCAAAGATTTATAATTTTTTTAGATTTATATATTCTTATACTTGAAAAAAATTGTTTGTCTATATTTCTGAGATGAGGTATTATGTACATTATTTACATTTCGGACTATTGTCCTCATCTTTGTCGCCATATTTATTACAACGTTTCGACCTTTCAGTATCTGTCTATATTTCTGAGATGAGGTATTATGTACACTATTTACATTATTCGGACTATTGTCCTCATCTTTGTCGCCATATTTATTACAACGTTTCGACCGTTGTACGCTCCGGCCTTCCTCATGTGGTTGGAATGTCGAACTAACCCTTTATTTCGCTCAATGTTCCAGTTCTACGTGCCATGTTTAATGGATGTCAGTTATCAGTTATCTCCTGTTAATTTCCCTCTTAACCGGGTATTGAACTCACATTCTTTGGGTTCTGTCACTGGATCTAACTAACGCCTTTATCCACTGTGCCATCTGTCCACCCTAAGAATGCCGGAGCGTACAACGGTCGAAACGTTGTTATAAGTATGGCGACAAAGATGAGGACAATAGTCCGAATAATGTAAATAATGTTGAAAAAATTGCTTAAATATAAATTGAAGGAGAAAGACAATCTGTTGAATCATTGTCAACATAATTTTTTATTTTCCTTTTCTTTTCTTAAATCCTGCTCTTCTCTTAAATATTATTATTATTATTATTATTATTATTATTATTGTTATTATTTTTTGCTTTGCATCCTGTAGAGCAGGGTCTAAACTATAGACCTTAGGCTCTATAAGAGAATTATAATTAAATTGTTAGCATTTTTCCTACTAAGGTGATCTTTTTGGCAACTTGTATGTTGATGCTACGTGGGACATTGTTGGTAAAATTGTCCATTCCTTTTCTCACGTGTCCCAGAGCTCTGATTACTATTGGTACAGTCTCAGTTTTCATTCCGTATATCCTGTTAATCTCGATCTAAATGTTCTTACAATTTCTCGATAATTTTCAGATTGTACTGCTATGTCAATAAACATACACTTCCTGAATTTCTTGTCTTATGATTATATAAGGTCTGTTGGCTTTTACTTCCCTGTCAGTTTGAATTGGCATGTCCCAGAGGATAGTTACATCATTATGTTTGGTAACTGGATTCGTTTTGTGCCCATAGCATCTCTCAGTGGTTTCGATTTTGTGCTTCTTGGATATCTTCTAGTGAACATATGTCGCTACCTTGTTATGCCGGCAGGTATATTCATTTTTTGCCAGTTCCAGACATTCTGAGATAATATGGTCGACAATTTCAATATAATAATCGAAGATTCTGCATTTCGGGTTAGTTTCATCCTTGATTATGGGGCAGGACCTGGTTGCAAGACTTTGGTCCTGAACTGCTATAGATAGGTCTTTCTCAGCTTTCAAGCCGGTTCTCCTCAGCCACTGATGCGTTTTCTGCAGGTTCGCATCTGCTTTTTTCGTTCTTTTTAGGTATTTGCCATGCAACACTTTGATCTCCCAATTGTAATTTAATTTATACAAGTTGTTTTGCATCCTGTTCTACTCGTTTGGCGTAGACGCTATTAATTTGTTGGTTGGTTTTTGTTGGTAGGATTTCAGGTACACTACGCTGTTTTGTGAAGAATGCAGCTTCTTTTTTTGATGGAGTGGATTTGGTGCTTTATTATTATTTTTATTTTCTTTGATTTCTGGCGTTTACACATTTCTTTCTGGGTCCCGCCTAGGAACCTAAGTTTAGAAATGGCATCATGACAGTTTCCATTGACAAAAAAAAAAAAAAATACATAGATAAAGCCCTTCGTAAAGTGTGGGCTGTACTTGTCAGAACAATGTTTTGTATCTCCTTGAGGCATGGACTTCCAGGAATCCCTTCAATTAGTTTACTGGAATCTTTTCTAACCAATCCTAGGGCTCCAACTACAACAGGGATTGTTGATGTTCCCATATGCGACATTTTTGAGATTTCTATTTCAAGGTCCTTGTATTTTGACAGCTTTTTGAATATCTTCAAAGATACATTGCAGTTGCAGGGACTGCCATATCAGTTGGAGGCACTTTTTTTCTTTGTGGTCTTTAATAACAATATCAGGGCGGTTGGCTTTGATTGTTCTGTCAGTGTATATTGTGTGGTCCCATAGACTTGTAACCGGATCTGGGTGGTGTTCATATCAGTTTCTTTCAGTTTCCTTCCCGTAGACGTTGCAGATTTTCCAGTGCAGATATTGACCCACTCTGTCATGTCGAGTATTATGCTCAGTGGGTGCCAATATCGTGCAACCTGATACAAGATGATAAATTGTTTCTGGATATTTATCACAGAATCTGCATTTTGGGCTAACACAATATTTTAGTATATGCGCTTGAGAATTTCTAGTTAACAAGTATAGGTCCTGTGCAACAAGGATAAAACCTTCAATTTCAGCTTTCAACCCTGCACTACGTAGCCCCTGATGGGTACGGGTTTTGTCAGCTTGTTTGGTACGGGAAGAGTATTGGCCATGAAGCGGTTTATCTTGCCATTGTTTCTGTATCTGTTCGGTTGCATTTGTCTTTGCTTTCTTTTTATTATTATTATTATTATTATTATTATTATTATTATTATTATTATTATTATTATTATTCAAACAAATGCTTTGAATAGAAAAAGAGATGGAAATAGGAAATGAATTTTTTTCAATTAGCATTCTTTAGACATTCGTTGTCAGAATAAAAAAAATATTGATTTGTTATCGACTCAGAAAAGAGGGGGGTCCTGTTTATATTATCGATCTGTGTCTAATCGATCCCTGACTTTTACCCAGTTATTGGAAGTCACTTAGCTTGTTATTTACAGATGTCATGTTTGAAACTATCCTAACTTTGCAGATATCTGCAAAGTTATTTAATTCTGAGAATTTTTAATTTTAAGCCTTTTATTTTTTAAATTTTGCATGGGATTTTTTTGGTTGATAATTATTTAAATATTTAATTATTTAAATGTTTAATTATTTAAATATTTTAAATAGAGAAAAAAATGTATACATACTTTCATTAATATACGCTGGTCAAAATCTTAAGGCCAGATACAAAAGAGTTAAAATATATGAAATACTTTTGCTTTAATCAAAATATATTTCGGAAAAATTTACATTTAATTAGAAAATGTAGTTTATCAACAAACAAGTGAAAATTTTAAGCTTTTAACTGATTAATTTAACGAAACATTGAAAAAGTATTTTTTTTGGTGGATTTGGTAATAAATATATGGCTAAACCCTATCGAGAATGTTTGGGTTTGGATGGTAAAGGATGTTTATATATATATGGATCGCAATTTGAAACTGTGGATGTTCTTCGCGCTGCAGTTTATGCATCATAGGCGAACATCCCAAGCACCCCTCATACAGAAGTTAATGAGTATGCCCAAAGCGAATTTTTCAAGTAATTCGCAAAAATGGAGGATATTCTATTAGGTTGGTGCAAAAATAATGACGTAATAATGTCGTTTTTTGATGTTAAAAATACGTCAAAAACGACATTATTACGTCATTATTTTTGCACCAACCCTAATAAATATTAAATTATCCCTATGACCTATTTGTTCTGTATTTTCTATTTTTGTTTGCATCTACTTATCTTTATGAAAAATCAAAAATACTTTTTCAATGTTTGTTTAAATAATTCAATTAAAAGCTTAAAATTTTCACTTGTTCGTTGATAAACTTTTCTTTCTATGTGTCGTGTCCTTTGAGGACGTAAGCGATCATGGCTCTCCACTCCCTTCTATCCCTTCCAGATATCAACAAGTTCCTTCCGTCTACTACCTCCCCCATTCCACGTTCTGTCAACCACATGCTTAAGCCCGCTCGGTATGTCATGCTTTGTTTTTTACCTTGTCTCTCTTTCTCACTATTGGACCCGTGAGTATCAGATTCTCCTGGCATTCCTTCCTCATTATCTGTTCCAGGAACTCCAGCAGCCTGTTCCTGATATTAGATATGTCTTCTCCTTGTTTGTATCCTCTCTAAGACATCATCGTTGCTCACACGCTCGGTCCATGATATTCTTAGCATCCTTCTGTAGAACCACATCTCCGTCGCCTCGAGTCGCTTTACATCTTTGAGGAAATCGTTCAACATTAGCTGCCGTAAACGAGTAAAGATGTCACGTAATGGCTCAATATTCTTTTCTTTGTTACCCAAAGAAATCCCCCTGTCTCGCAATATTCTGTCCAGCTTTTGCAATGCGTCTTTGGCCATCCCAATACGGATTTCTGTGTCGTATTTAGCGTCACTTTCAGAACGCTTCGCAGATATTTAAACTTCCGAGCCCTTCGCAAATATATTTCGATTAAAGTAACAGTACATTATATTTTTTACCCTTTTGTATATTGTCTTATGATTTTTGAGTCTATCTATCTATCTATCTATCTATCTATCTATCTATCTATCTATCTATCTATCTCAGTCTCTACCTTATCTATCTATCTATCTATCTCTATCTATCTATCTATCTATCTCAGTCTCTATTATCTATCTATCTATCTATCTATCTATCTATCTCAGTCTCTACCTTATCTATCTATCTATTTATCTATCTATCTATCTATCTATCTATCTCAGTCTCTACCTTATCTATCTATCTATCTATCTATCTATCTATCTATCTATCTCAGTCTCTACCTTATCTATCTATCTATCTATCTATCTATCTCAGTCTCTATTATCTATCTATCTATCTATCTATCTATCTATCTATCTATCTATCTGTTAACATATATTTTTGTAACGTGACCTGCTACCTCAAAAAAGTTTATTTTCTCACGTAAAACATGTCACTGTTTCTATATTACTAACAGGACTCACACTTCTACAACGATAAAAAAAATATTCATATTTTCAGATTCTGAGGAATGTTGAGGCTTAACTAAGCTCAAACCAATGCTAATCGAGATAAGTATTTTACAAATATTTTCCCAAAAAGACTTGCACAAATGCGAAGTGCCAGAGAAGGAGCTGCTTGCACAGAACTTACGGTTATATCTAAAGAAAATTAACTGTAAAATAATGAGACCTAACCGCCAACCTAGGATTATGTTTAAATTTGTATAGAGGATGTACCAAAGGGAACAGCTTATCAGAGCCCTTACCATAAAAGCATACTTGTAAGGACGTTATGTTACAGCAGTGGGCGAGTTTTTGAAACCGAGATATTAGGTCAAAATTAATAACATCCTTATTTCATCGATCTTCATACTGTTCTCAGTTCCTGATTGGTATCTGTGCGGATGACACAACAATTTTTCTTCTGTTTTTATGAAAAGTCTGATACGTTTGATGAGGTCAAATTGAAAAGAGATCTCAAAAAAGAGCTTCAGTCTGTTGTTAACTGGGTCAAGGAATTGAAACTACGCTCTTTTAATTCTCTTAAAGAATCATTTTTTACACTTTCCATTAGTATGGCTGATGCTAACCTCCAGCAGAAAAAACTCATCGCGCCTTCTCGGACGAGCGTTTTTCGCAGATATGAAGAGGAAAGGTTATAGTGAAACAATTGCTTCGTCCGCTGCTAGGTCGATTGGTTTCATGTATCGGGCTAGACAATCTATCTGATATAATGGAATATGCGTCCACCCGTGTTTCCCCTCACTAGAATATGATTGGCTGGTGTCCGTCATAAATACCGACGGGCCTGTAGGAGAGTCAAGAGCCTTAGTCTGAGAGCTAAGTCTATAAAGACGCCCATTGGACTACGCCATTGATCTACACTTCTTACCTGCGACTACGACGCGTACCAGTCGATTACTGCTACCGTATTCTACTTGGTTATAGTAGCCAAAACCACTTGTCTACTTCGTTCAAATATATCCCTTTCCGGGACGTGTCAGTATCTTGCATATTTTGAAGTCTACCATTCGTTCTTGCTTTGAATATTGTTGCCACATCTGCTCTAGTGCCCCTGCTATATATTTAGAGATTCGTGATAAAATCCAAAGAAGAATCAGCTGATCTGTGCCTTTTCTATGGCAGTTCTTCAGATGAACGTTCCTTTATAGTACCTATATTTTATGAATTTAAACGCAGTACTAGATTGGCGATTAGGTTTCGTCATATTACAGTTGAAATATCTAGATGCAACCGCAACTTCTATACTAACAGTTTATTCTATCACACTTCTTGCCTGTGGAACTCTCTTCCGCCTTTTTGCTTTCCAGTCAACATTGATCTTGAAAAATCTAAATTTAGTGTCAATCGTCATCTTCTTTTTTCTTAATTCTTGTTCTTTTATTGTTCTGTCTCCTTAATAGTAGTTCTTGTCAAATTTTCTAACACTCAGTAACTTTTTGCATCTCAGTGGCTTTATTGCCATGATCGGTGTTAAATAATTAAAAGAAAAGTACTTCTCTATTACAGAACGGATTCTCGAGTTGATGCCTTCCAGATCATTATAATAGTAATTTTTGAAAGTGTAGGGTCAACTGTGATCGATATCTTCATTTCCTTCATATGACATTGTTAAGTTCAGCACTCTGTAAATTGGCTTGCCGTCTGAAAGTCCATCCGGACTTGTGGAACTAAGAAATGCCATCCGCCAGAACATCTGATATGAAAATAACAACTGAGTAACGAGAAGCTAAGAACGGTTCGTCGCCGGGAAAAGAGACTTGTATGGTTGAAAACATTTCATCACTCACAAGGCTGCGAGCCTGGAAAGTGAAAGTAGGGGTAGTTCTCCCACGGATACGCCAAAAGCCGCCTTTTTTTTTTTTTTTAGGGGGTCAGTTCTGACTGATTTAAAGATGGTGTACCTCTTTATAAAGACGCACAAGGATCAGGCATTTTTTTCAGTCATCTTCAGTCATCGATTGTATATATGAATTCCACTTGAGATTTGGAGTGAGCTCAAGGTATATGAGTCTCATTGCGTGAACAAGCGTTCATCATAACTGGAGAAAACTTAGTACCTTCTCTGTGATGGAGGTGGTTCATTTTGAGAATTTTACTGCACCCCCTGCTAAACACGTTAGGTTATGGCGAATATGTGATTCGTTTTCTATTGCTCAATGTCAGTAATGTTGGTTAATTTCATATCAGCCGAAAGTGAAAGTGAAAGTGAAATTCTTCATAAAGGTGGGTCAGGGCATACGGTCAATTTAAGTTTCAAGAAAATCAATAACCTGATACTGAAGGTAGATTTTAATAAGCTAGTTAACCGAAGGGAGAAAATAGAAAGCGAACAGAAAAGAAAAATCAAAGATCTGATCGATTGAGCTGAAGACATCGATCGATGTATGGACGTCGTTGATGTAAAATTTGTTGGAATTGAGTCAAAGGAGTTTGGAAGAAGAGTCAGACATTATACACACACATATACACACAACAAAGAAAAGCACAGATTCACATTAAAACAGAGAAGAAGCGGAAGAAAGCGGCAAGGTTATAGAACTTAGGGATTGGGGGAAAATACGAGTATTGGAAGAGCAGATATGAAGAAAAAAACGCAAAACGTAAATAAATACAAAGATAGTGAAATGATCAGGTTCGATTAATAGATAGGTATGTATAGAACAGCCTATCACTAGACACAGGGAGCTAGACAAAAGTTAAATACAGATAAAGTTTATTCTAGATGTCAAAAAAGCAGACATAAGTCCGTAATTAAAAGAAGAAAAAAAAGACTTGTAATTCCAGTGAATGATTTATTTTATGGAAATATTTCGACTAGCCTTTGCTAGACTTGTTCACTCCTTTAGTAGGATCATACGCTTTTTAGCGAGGTCCTTGCCTTATTCGTATCAAAGTTAGGATGCTTGTCTACTTTTATAATTTCATAATTAAAAGAAAAACATCTAGTTCCAACGAATGGTTTATTTCATGGAAATATTTCGACGAGCTGTTGCTAGTCTTGGTCACTCTTTTAATTTGACTAAAACAATTCAAAGAAAATAAACATGCTTAAGAATTCAAATCATGGAAAAAAACCGAGCTGACGTTTATAACATAAGAGCAAGTTTAGGCGTAAAAAAAAAATTGTTGTCATAACATTTTTCTTTGGAGCAGAGAGGTCCAGACAGGATGGAGTTGTGTTGCATCTATCCTATTGCAGGCATTTTTTGTAGTTGCTATTACCATTTGTTCAGCTAGTCTTCTTTGATTGAAAAGCTTTTGATTCGTCAATTTTATTTCTGGATGATCGAAGTCAATTCTGTGACTTTCTATAATGGCTTGTAACAAAATACATGCAATAGGATAA